CATGGGCCAGGACTTTGTGCCCAGCGTCGGCTGGCTGGTCCGCTGGAAGCGCCGAAACAACGTGGGCTTTGGGGCGCGGCACGTCCCGGTGCCTCCGCGCCCGCCCGAGCGGCCGCCGGCCTCTCGCCACCTCCCTGGCGCGGTGCGCGGCTCCCGCGTCCTGACCCGACGCTCCCGGCACAGTTGTTCGATGGATTTCCTAAAAGGAGACCCACGCCAACTTCATCTGAGAGAAAAGGTGATTTTTAAAAATCAGAGCGCTTGAAAGCGAAACGGAGTTTATACATTCCAGCAACAATGCAGAGCGTAAGTTTTAATGTCTCTGCGTAGGCATTTTAATTTGCTACAGTCACTACCAATAAAAACGGCACGTAGTCCGATTCGACTGTTTAATAGCGCGAGGTAGACGGTTTTATTAGCAGCAGGCAGCAGTATGGAAAATTTAGATTTCAGGGGAGGAGTGCCATTGCTGGGGGCACCCTGGGGCGAGGCCGCGGGCGAAGCGGCCGTTTGGGGACCTGCCCGACCCAGGCCTCTGGTCTGGCCGGACACCTGAAGGTGCCCAAGTTGCGTGTGTGCCACGCACAAGCCGATGCAGACTGGGGTGTTGTCCTAAGAATTCCCGGGTGTCTTTCCCGCCTGGGGCAGACAGAGATCAGGCCCCGGTGGAGGGGGCAGGGCAGAGAGGGCCGCCCCCATGCTAATGAAGCTCAGCGGGGAGCCGGGCTTTAGAAACCGGCAGAGCCCGGCCGGCCTCAGCTCAGTCTCCCCGCGCCTCACTCCACTGCTGCTTGGGAGCGGCCGCTGCGGTGTGGCCGCGCCTGCCCTCCCGAGCGGATCGGCGGCAGTGGGCCTCCGGGGACCCCCTTCCAGGAAGACCCCGCCTGTGGCCTGCTCCTCCCTGCTGCGGTCTCCCCAACCCCGTCCTTCCTCTGCCTTCAACTCGAACGACTGACTCGGAGTCTCGGCCTGGCCGGCGGCTCCTGGGCCTCACGGGGCCTGGGCGCCCGCCCGGGCGGCGGCCTGTGTGGAGGTAGACTGTGGGAGACTGGGGCAGGGCTGGGGGTGATGAGGGACGGGGCAGGCGGATGCGGGGGCGCGCGGTTGGGGCTGGCACGGAGCCGCTCCCCGCAGGAGCGCTCCCCGCAGGCCCGGAGCCCCCCACTGCCCAGCCCCGCAGTTTGCGGCTGGTCCCCTTGAGTCTGGGGGAGGCAGATGTGGCTGCGCGGGCCCAGGAGGGACGGGCCCAGGAGGGACTCGGCTGGAGTGGGGCGCCCGCCGCAGACACACCCCCGGAGGACAGCCCGCCTGCTCCTCGCAGAGCACCCTGGCCAGGGGCACCGCCCGAGGCCGCGGGGCGAGGGGCAGGGCGGTGCTGGGCGTGCGCTGGAGCCTGCGGGCCCCTCCAGGGGCGCCCCCAAGAAGAGGTACCTGTTGGATGCCCCCTGCCCCCCCAGGGCTACACACCTGTTCGTGAGGGCACCTGAGCGCCCCCCACTGGTGACCCCCTCTGGCTGCGCCCGTGGAGGCAGGCTGGGTGGGAGCCCACGGTGTCGCTGGGGTCCCAGGTGCTTTGTTCAGCACCTGTGTCTGGGCCCCGGAGGCACCTCCAAGCTGCTGTTACCTGAGCACCTGCGCCGCTGACTGCGCCCGCCACCATCCTGCCGTCTCCGCGTCCCTTCCAGAGTTACACCAAGGTGTCATGTCCCGCCTGGGCCGCCCAGCCGCCACCGTCTTCCCCAGCGCCTTATAACATGAATCCGAAAGGGGCGTCAGCCTATTCAACTCAGCGAAACAAGACCCACGGGGGCGCCAAAATGTCCCAGCCGGGACAGCCCCACGCCGGGACGGGGCGCCCCGCTGCACGGGCAGAGGGC